AAATATTTTATTTGGAATTTTTAGGTTGAATTTGGATTTTAAAAAAAATTTTTAAATTTCAAACGATAAATTTGGGGGACAGGTTTGAGCATCCACTAAATTTGTCGTTCAAAAACCGTAGTTTTTCTCTAGTTACCGTAATAAATTATCGTTTGCAACGACAAACGACTAATTTCGGACGACAAACGACAAATCTCGACGACAGTCGATATAATAGAGACGATAAACGACAAACGATAAAGATATTTATTGTTATTCGAGGTAATCGACAAACGACGTATCCGAACGACAAACGTGAAAAATATATCTATCGTTTGTCGATTGTCTCCGTTATTGTTATTGGCCCCTGGGCTGGATCTTGGGCATGTAGTGCAGGAAAAAGCCAGCCCCAGGAAAAACGGTAGGTTGTGCGGAATAACTGTCACTTAGACGGAATACAGGAAACTATTGCATTCTTCCTATTTTTAGAAATATGAAAATTAGCCTTCGGCGTTATGTATTTATATTATCTATTTGCTTGTTCTTACACTTATTTCGTGTTTTTGATTTAATTTACTTTTCTATGCCATACTCTTTTGGAGGCATTAAATCTTTTGATAATTTTAACCAAACATGGCCATTTATTCAGTATAAAAATGAAATGGTGATTTTTATTAAATTTTTAAAAATAAAAAAATATATATTATGTAGTTGAATATTCCGACACTTTTACCAATGGTATTAATTGAGTTTGCTTCATATATAATAATATTGTTTTGTGGATTCAAAATGGTTAGATATGTCGATTTAAACACTAATTTTGATAATGATTTAAAAAAACTTAATAAACTTTTGACAAAAGTTTTGCTTACCTTGGTAAGAAAATTGATATATAAATTTCTTTAATTTTCACAATAGGAAAAAATTAGTTTTTAGGTCTTTTACCCCAGTCTTTTAATTAAATAGACCTTACACCAATTTACATACATAGGTAGATGTTGCTAGGCGATATGGGTTAACGGATTAGCTATTAATTAAATAAACAACTATAGCACCTCGGCCTTTCAAGCAGAGGTGGGTCGGAACAGTTAGAGGAGTCGGAAATCAGAAGAGCCGGAAATCGGAACTGTCTCAAAGGTCGGAATTCGGAAATAAAAATTTTTTACGGAAATAGGAAAGAAAAACGTTGGAAATCGGAATTCTGACCCACCCTGTCCTCTTAGGAAAGAAAAAGAAAAGACCCCGAACCCGGGAATGGAAGGGCATGTTGGGACTTGTAACTCAGACATGCTTTTCCTGTGAAACACGATCCCCGCCACTCCTTACCGAAAGGTTTGGGGTGTTAACTAGGATAAACCACTTCCTCTAACGACTCTAACAGTGTATATTTTTCGTCTCAATTAGAAAATTTTTTAATTTTAAACAGGCTGTTATACCATTTGTTAATGAGACTGGAATTATATATCTTACAATTTATGCAAAGACTGTCAACAATACAGCAAATGTTATTCGAATATTAATCTTTTTTTCCTTTCATTTAACACCTGTAATTAATCCAATCATTTGTATTTTAACAAACACACCATATCGAAAAGCTTTTTTTAATCGTTTTAGAATTCATCCACAATGAATGAAATACATAATATATATTTTATTATTCCTAACAGAAAGACTAACTAACAAGCTCACTAACAAGGTTTATCACGAAGGTAACAATACAATAGAAATAGGCGAGACTATGCGCTGGAGTAGAATGTAGCTTGACTACGGACTAAGACTGACTAACTGGCGACTGCGGTCTAACTCTCGGACTGACTCACTAATTAACTCTAGACTGACTCGGACTCACTCCCCGACTACTAAAAGGCTGCGCCTTTTAGTCTGCGCCTAACACTGTTCAGTTTCCTAAGGCTGTTCAGTAGGCGGCGTGGCGTAATGTATGTACAACACGGCGTAGTGACAGAAGACCCACAGACAGAAGACCCAAGGACAGAAGAACCACAGACAAAAGACCCACAGACAGAAGACCCACAAGGACAGAATACCCACAGACAAAAGACCCACAAGAAAATTTTTTAACAAAAACTTTAGAAAATTTTTTTTTGAAATTTCTGAAAGAGGTTTCCAATTTTTCAAAGCACAAAATTAATTCTAAAGTTAACCTATAAAATTTTTACCGTTAAATTTTATGGATGAGTGTGATTTAGATAATTAAATTAGAAAGTGATTTGAAGAGTCTAGTGATTAATTGGCAGTTGTAGGAATAGCGTGGGATATTGAGAATAAGGGGTAAGATCTCAGATCCACCGATATCTATTCTTATCCGTGAATTGTGTATAACAGGAACTAGGAGAATGAATACTATATCTTTCTCAACCAGTAAATGTCAGGGAATTCAAAGGATAATTCCAATAATCCGCTTATATCCACCGATATCCCTCCATTTACTCAGAAATAATTAACTAATCTCTACTATTCCAATGATCCCCGATATACTTCCTTCTATATCCCTATAATCCTTCTATATCCCTCCATGGGACTTAACTAACTCTCGCTATAATCCATTAATCCTAAATACCCCTTGATCCTAAAAATCTCTTATTAAGGAATTCAAAGGATAATTCCAATAATCCAATAATCCGCCCGTTGTTGGATCAATCTCTTATTAAGGAAAACAGAACTAACAACATTCCTCGCGCCAAAATTTACAAAAAAAAAGTAAAACAAAAAAGTTGTGGGTCTTTTGTCTGTGGGTATTCTGTCCTTGTGGGTCTTCTGTCTGTGGGTCTTTTGTCTGTGGTTCTTCTGTCCTTGGGTCTTCTGTCTGTGGGTCTTTTGTCTGTGGTTCTTCTGTCCTTGGGTCTTCTGTCTGTGGGTCTTTTGTCTGTGGTTCTTCTGTCCTTGGGTCTTCTGTCTGTGGGTCTTTTGTCTGTGGTTCTTCTGTCCTTGGGTCTTCTGTCTGTGGGTCTTCTGCGTCGACACGGTACAACACATCAGTCCGGCCTACAGAAGATGATGTTTCGCTTAGTTTATGTCGACAAAAAATTTATCAAAAATTTTTCAAAACTTACATTCATTCATTTAATATTTTAAGTATTAAATAACCATTATAAATGTTCTTATTGAGGAAAATTGCGTGTTTTTACATTTTCTAGATCATAGGGAGCAAATTAGCTTCCCAACTATCAAGATAAAATACTTTTCGCTCTAAATCAAATTTTGCATAATTAATAACATTATTTAAAAAAAGTTTTTTTAAGTTTTAAAATTTAATTTTAATTTATTAATTTAAAAAAATTGGATTTTTATTTTAAAAAATTCGATAGTCGCGCATTTCTTAAGCAAGCGACTCTCTCGGCGCTTTTCTTTTAAAGCGATTCAATCAATTTTTTTCTTGCCTTTAAATTTTTTCAATAGACACGGTCGAGAGAGGGAATCTAAAAAAGAGTCGTCAAAAAAGGCAACACACACACAAAAGGCAACACGATTAAGTCGTATTAAGGGGGAGTTAAGGAGTGAGAGGACGTCGAATGGGAGGGATTTTGAATAAGCGCGAGGGTCTTAAAAAATATTTTTTAGAATTCTCTAACTAAACATTTCAAAATTTTTTAAAGAAATTTCCTAAAAAAAGTCTCTTCATACAGGTTTTTAAAAATAAATTTTTTTAAAAGTAATAGCATCGTTAAGTTTATAGGCCAGGGGCCTATTTGAATCGTCCACAGATTCTGTGTTCTGTATTCTGTGCACAGACCACAGAACCACTGAAATCTTGTTTTAATTATTCCACAGAATTAAAACAGAATTTCCACAGAATCTGGGTTCTGTGCACAGAATGCAGAATCTGTGGACAAATAAAATAGGCCCCAGGAAAGTTTATAATAATTCATATAAAGTAGATATTATTTCTTTGATTTTCAAAATTTGGTGCTAATCTCCTTAACAGTTAACGCATGTAGAGTGCTTAAAAAAGCGACAAACGTTGACAGAAACCTCAAAAATCGGCCAAAATTGAATATTTATAAAGAAGGAAATTTGAACATTCCGAGGCAGTAAAAATAAGTAGTAAAATTAACTGCGACTCAAATAGGGGTGGGGAGCGGGATATTAATAAATTACCCATTTTAGATAAAATTCTCAGTCCAAATTTAGAGTTCTACGCATTTAAATTAAAGTTTTCTTTGTCTTTTAAAACGAACATGAATACAATTTCTATTATTCTTGTAATTGTAATGATTTGCATTGAGGAGAAAACCTGTATGAATACAGGAGGAGGAGATAGGAGAAGAGGAGGACGGAGGGGAGAAAGTCGCGGTAAAGCTGTTCAAGTAGAAGAAGGCGGGGATATTTATAATTATCCAAGACTAGACTCTTTTTTATTCAAAGGCATGAATCAAACTTATTACCTCCTGTTATTTCCCATTAAGCATATCTTTTAAATACATATTAAATGAGATGCTGTTGCGACAATCGAGGATTCGCACTTGAGGATATAACATATAAGGATGACATTGAGGATTAAATAATAATAAGAAAACAAATAATGAGACCTTCTGAAATATAAAAATTTTCGCTTGCGGCACTGGAAAGAGTTGAATACTTCTTTATTGGTCTTTCAAGTGGTGATTTTCCAAGTTTTATCGGCCTTCCAAGCTTTTTTATTTTTCATTTCTATCCTCATTTGTCATATCCTCACGTGCGTATCCTCAATTGAAGTACCGCCAATGAGATAAGTATCGGTACACCTCAATTGAGTCCCCACTATTGATTCTCTCAAATGACAATCCCCAAATTCGTGACTTAAAGTCTTCACCAAATTTTAATGTATTCAATAAATTTTCTTCATTCTATTTTAGGTCCATCGTTGGAAACATTAATTCATCAATTTCATCTTGATCTACAAACCTATCAAAATTTAACTGATGAAGCGCAAAATCTTCGAAATTGTTTACACATTTTACACCAGAATAGAGAAAATTTAAGACAAATAGCTACAGTATTCGAACAAAACAATGAGAATATAGCTAATTTATTCCAAAATATTCGACAGATAAATGATCCGCGGCAATTTGAGGAGAATAGAAATATGGTTAACGTGTTACTTGCTCATTCATGTTTGAATCTGACGGAGATTCAAAATTTAATTAATTCAACCGATATTGCTGATATACAAATTCAATATGAAATATTGGGTCAAAAGGAGACACGTCTTCGACATCTTTTTGATAGACTTAACCAACAAATACAAACAATTTCACAAATAAATCCTTTAATGGCACAGCAATTGGCGCAACAACTTAAGGTTATTCAAAGACAGGGAGAAAATATTCATCATCATGAAGCTGGTCCATCACACCAAGTTCAAGCTGGAGTCGGTCCCTCACACTATCAAGAGGAAGCCGGTCCCTCACACCATCAAGGTGAAGCCGGTCCCTCTCATCAATTCCACGCTGGAGATGCTCCGCGTCACTTCCAAGGTAATTATTAAAGCTTAATCATAAAAACGTTGAAGATTTTAAAACCACTTGATTCAGATGAAAGTAGATCAGTTATCAAACGACTTCGAAATAAAACCTTTATTAAATTCCCCTTCTAGGTTGTAAAAATATTAGTATACTTTTACACGCTTTACAAAAGCCTACTTTACTTAATATATGTAAATTAATTTTCAGATCCAATATACCGCCGAACTCTTGTGAATCAACTCTTTGGTACTCCATCAGGTTCTAATGGTAATGGAGGGTCTGGAGCAAAATCTAATGATTCGGATTAGAGGTTAAAGTTAACAAACGAAAATTAAAAAAGAATTTGAAAGGATAGTGAAGTGCTTTAAAGTAATATATTTCTATCAGGGTTGTCCTTTCCAAAACATTAAAATAGGGCGCAGTCACACATAAAATAGAGCAGCAAATAGAGCGCAATCGGCCAAAATGGGGCAAAAAAGGAGAATATTTTACTAAAAAACTAAAAACAACTTCCGTTTCGAATATTCTTTACTAACTAGAGAACCCTGATTTCTAACGGATTATCTTTCTAGTGTATGGGCGATTCAGAGTAGTATTAACGTGTGGGCTGGTGGCAAAATTTATACAATTAGAATTGAAAAACTGTTATACTGTGTTATGAAATTATAAAACCACCTAGTTTATTTCGAATTTTGCCCGGTGGCTAAACTTTTGCTAAACTCTTTCTATATTATTTAAACAATGTAGTTTTTAGTTTATCTTCATATCGATAAAGTTTTAAATTCGTTGGTTTTATATTATAGTTTTGGCTAGAGTTGATCAAGAAATGAGACCGATACCTAGATTCTCGGCTTTTTTTCAATATCGGTCTCGGTTTTTTCATTCTCGGTCTCGAACCCGATACTGAAATTCTCGGTCCATTTCTCGGCGAGAAACGATACTGACTCAAAGAAACAAAGTTTCTCGGCATCGGTCTCGGCTCAAAATGATGGTATCGGTCTCGGGTTCTTGAGCATCGGTCAATTTCGGTCTCGGGTTGGCCGATACCAGTATCGTTCTGTCCAACCCTAGTTTTGGCTATTGAAATGTAACTTCGTTCAAAATCATAATATCAAAAAACTAATGGCATATTTGGGCTTCATTTGCCAAAATATATTTTGGAAAAAATATATTTCAATGCAAATTCGAGTCCTACTAATAAATATCTTAAAACAATTTGTTTTCCAAATAAAAACAAATATTTACAAAATAAATGAATTTATAACAAAATTGATAATAAACCTATTTTAATAATATAAAAATAAAATTTTGATACAATTCAAATAAAAAATTGGCCCTAGTCATTTGTCTGTCCAATAAGGCCAAAATTTCATTTTATAAAAAAAATATATAAATAAAATAATTAGGGCTTGGATTTCCAGGCATTTTAGGCACTCAAAACACGCTTACTGATCCATAACTGATCACACATCTCTCATTTAAAATCACTACTAATTTATTCGCACTAGGGTTATACTCCGTTGAGTCTTTTCTTGAAAATACCCGTCCCCGCCTAACGTGGCCGTGACTGCCAAATTTTTCCAGTGGCCCCGGAAAAACCCTATTCGACAGACAGAATTTATAGTTAATCAGAGGGGCAGTTCTCGGTGATTATCAGTTCGCGCCTCTTTAGCGCCTGAAAATCCAACCCCTAATGATAATAATTAAACAGCTTCAGGTTTTTCCATATTATTATTATGAGAATCTTCATGCCGGAAAAATGCGGAGATTAAACCATCGCTTACAAACAGACCACAGGATAGAAGAGAAAATATCTAAAAAAATAATTTTAAAATTCGAAAAAAAATTTTTTTGTCTACCCCAGCCAATGCCCATCCATTTATTCCACAGTGAGTGTCAAAATAATTTCCCATTGAATTGAAGTTGCGACGTAACAACTGACTTTGGTAAAAATCGTCAAGCCAAGGGCAAGCGCTATAATGCATTTCGAGACCAAAAATGAACAGGGCTATTGGAACACAACCAAAAGCATAGAGAATACACTAAAATGTTAGAGGTATAAAGTAAAATTTCGAAGATAAGTCAGCTAGAACTAGGGTTCTCTCTTCTGTAAAATTTAATGAATCTCTGGAAGTAACCCAAGAAATAGAAGACAATAGAGAGAAGTCTACGAATCTGTCTACTACCAGACCTGCTCACGGATACTAATTTTTGCATCCGTATCCGGAGTCTTAAGACGGATACAGGAGGATATCCGCGGTCATTTTGATATTATCTGTATCCATGAGCAGATCCGTTATTACTATAAGTCTACTACTTCCCCGTTCCCCTTTTGTGACGTAAGAAATTTTCCCTGTCTCCACTCCCCCCCCCCCCCCCCCCCGGTGCCGCTGCATCACCGAAAGCTTTTCCCGTGGCCCTCCCCCTCCCTCCGTCGGCAAACAACCCTATCCACTACTATAAGGACATGTATAAGTATTTAACTCACAATCATTTTTGAATGTTTAACATGAAGGCAATGAACTGTTTGAAGCATTACTGTAACCAATAGCATAGCTATGGATAAAAAAGCTGCGAAAAATTGGCCTCTGTTAAAGGGAGATATTTCAAAATGTTATTAAAATTATCAAAATTTACGTTAAATTCATTTCAGAAAATGTCATAGGCAGTTCATCCATAGAATAAATTGGTTGATAATTCCTAAAATTAAGAAGGAAAATTCAGAAAATTTTTTTCAAGAATTTTTTTTTGAAAATTTTAAAAATTAAGAAAATCAAAGAAATTTTTAGAAGATTTTCAAAAAATTTTCGAAAAATTAAAAAAAAATTTTCGAAAAATTTTTGAAAATTTTCTAAAATTTTCAAAAAAAAATTTTCAAAGATTTTCAAAAAATTTCAAAAATTTTTTTAAAAAATTTTCTAAAATTTTTTACAATTACCATTTATCCAGTGTAAGAAACAAGGTTATTTTAATTCCATTCCTGTCATGGTAAACTCCCACACCTGAGAATATTAGTAGATTGACTAGAATGAGGAGTATCTATTTAAGAAAAAAATATTTTTAATTAATTTTTATTAGCTTACAATATTAGCCATCCTCAGGGTAAAAACAACTCGTGAAGTACTAACATCATTGCGGCGCCTTAAATAATTTTAATAAAATTTTAATTTATAAATATGCATAATATCGGATATTTTAAATTATTAATTATGTAAACACGAGCTAATAAGGTGATTCTGATTCTCTACAAAAATTCTGATTTAATTATTTCATATTCTGAAAAATTCTGAAACAGAAATTCTGTTAAAGAAGTTCTTATTTTAAAAATCTGATATTATGATTCTAAAGGATATTAGAAGGATTTCAAAGTGGCTAGCGTTTAAACGCTTATGAGGAAATGTTTAATATCTATTAAAATGAAGTTAAAGCAGTTACTCTATAGCTCTTTCGCTAGGTAGAGCACCTGTACGTGATGAGCGAAAGCGCGCATTAATAATTGCTAGAAGATTACAGGATCATTGTCTGCTAAACTTTCACCACATCCTTACTTAATTCTACTTTTAAATTTTCCTGAATATTTTCTGGAATAAGGCTTTTAATAATAAAAAAGTCAAAACAAAGAATTAGAGGGTTTAGAAACCCCCTGACAAAAATAAATCTTCGAGTCAATGGAATTAATTTTTCAATTCAATGCACAAAAAAGAAACTTCTTAGCATTCAAAAATAGTAAATTTTATATGTTGTATAAATAATATTAGAAGTAATGACATTAAAATTTTTTAGTTTCTGATTGAACTATGTATTCTGATTTTGAAAATTCTGATTTTTAAATTTTGATTTTATAAATAATATTCTGATTTTAATGATTTTTTATTCTGATTTTAAAAATTCTAATCCTTAGAATTCTGATTTTCAAAAATTCTGAAATTAAAGCCCTCTCACCTCCAATCCACTTCCGTTTCCAACGCCTGCGCCACCAGCATTAGCCTATTCAAAGTCCCAGTAGACTGCCTGTTTAAAGCAGACCGGTCCTGATATTTATTAGCACTAAGGAGGCTATTATCAACTACTTGTTGTCTACAGCTATTAATTGTTGTGTTTGTTGTTTTTGTTGATTTTTCTGAATTTTCTGTTAATTCTAATAGCAATTTTGTTTGTTTTTCTTCTTTTAAACTCAAATTTTCTTCCTCATCCAACGTCATTTGTGTTATTTGAATGGCTGGAATGTCCCCTACAAAGGGCTGATTTTGTTGTAAATTGGGCTGTTTTGTTGAGGCGAATTTGGATTGTTTTTGTTGTCTCTTTAAGGGAAAAATCATTTTATTTTTTTAGTTTAAATTCTGATTTTTTTTGATTTCTGATTAAATTTTTGATTAAATGAAAAATATGATTGAATTCTGAATTTATTTATCCTTAGTAATTTTTTATCTCTAAGATATACATATTTATATGTCGATATCTAACAAAACATTTTATAGTAATTTAGGCTATAAACATCCCAATTTCATTCCACCTTTTTCAAGACATTCATGAAATAATTGGGAATGGAGCTTGTCTTTTGAAGGAGTTCGCAATTCCGTCTCAACGAATAGAGGGGAATACCACTCTCAAATTTCGTGATTTTAAGAATGTTAAAAGCTAAACAGCCGTAGGCGAAAATTTCGAAAATTTTGAAAAGACGAAAAGCCAGATTTCTCTAATTTTGTCCTCAGATTGGGTCTATTTTTTGCATTAATTTGTCTAAATTTAGCGCAATACAGAATGCGCTCCACCTGTTCTGATTACTTTGATTTTAATAATTGTGGTTTTTAAATTAAATAATTTATTTACCTTAATATTGCTGTTATTATTCATCATTTTTTATATAACGGAAGTAAATTTAAAAAAAATATAAATATTTTTATGTTGTGAATTTTTATAAAATTAAGTCTTATTTTCTGTTTTAAGCTGTAAATTGATACAATTATGCAAAGAAAAAAATATTAAAAATTTGAGAAAAAATCTCGAATTGCTAGGTAATTAAGCTTAAAAAATGGAAAATATTATATTTTACAAAAAAAATTTTTTTTGCAAAATATATTTAAAAATATTTAATTGTTTACTTAAAAATTAAAAAATATTTTCAAGCAGATTAATAAAATAAAATAAATTTTTTAAAATTAATTTATGGTGTAAATGAAGCCTTAAAATAATAAATTAGAGAGAAGAACAATTTTTAATTATTTTTGAACTATTATGTTTGGTTTAAATTGTAAATGAATACCATGGGAACGAGTTTTGTTAGGGCAAATCATCCAGATAGAAAATTGCGGATTTCCGCCAACGATGGAACTATAGCTAATTTATTAGGAGTAATAGGGACCTGACTCTTAAGGCACTTTTTCCAACCCCAACTAAGCTTAAGTCTAGGCTTGGAGGTTAGTTAAAAATGTTTTGGAGTGCTGGACCATTACAACAAAATCACAAATAAATTTTTCCAGTTTTGATAAAGATAAGCTTAAATTAGGGTTGGACACGACCGGTTTTAAACCTGAAATTTCCATATTTTTTACCGAAAATTTACTGTTTTTATAAATTTTAAAACCGAAAATATATAAAAATAAGTTTTTTAAGAAATCCGCCTACATAAAACCGTTATTTAACTGAAACTCAACTCCGAAAATTGAGGGGTTTTTTTTTAAATTTAATCAACCGAAAACCGACGGTCCAATCCTACGCTGGAAGTGTAAATTTCATTTCAAGAAAAATTGGACTGAAAATTTTAAATTAATGCCAAAGAAATGCCAAAAAAATTAGGCTCTTGTCCAATTTATGCGTCCCATCAACAAAAAATTGGATATTTCTTGGTGTTGCAAAGTAGGGGTATGGTTCCAAAGCATTTCTTCATGTTCGGGACCTACGTCCACTGGGTCTGGGACCGTTCCTTACCCTATACCTCGAAATTTCTGAAAGTTAAAATCGTTTTTCTGAAATTTTTAAAAATTGGCTATAACTTTCAGAAATTTCGAGGTATAGGGTAAGGAACGGTCCCAGACCCAGTGGACGTAGATCCCGAACATGAAGAAATGCTTTGGAACCATACCCCTACTTTGCAACACCAAGAAATATCCAATTTTTTGTTGATGGGACGCATATACTTTCATGGGACGCATAAACTGGACAAGAGCCAAAAATTATTTTAATAAATTCAAAAACAAAATTTTTCTTAGATAAATTAATGAAGATGAGGAGATTATCCACACACTCCCTATTACGTTAATTCACTCACGAGACTTTTTAATTCACAAGAAAAAATGGAAATGAGCAATAAATAAATGAAAAAAGAAACCCTTATTTAAATCTAGGCAGTAATATTATAAAAATAATAAAAAAAATTCTCGTTACTTTGGCACTAAATAAACTCTCTATTTATTTAAATAGTTAATCCGTTGTCGTTGACAGATTAAAGTCAAAAAAGCTTTTATAATGAGAAAAATAATGAGCGGAAATTTTAAAAAATAAGCGGGAAATGAACGAAAAATTTGTGGTTAAGTGAGGGGGATTTTAATATGGTATTTCCTAGGCTTTGTTTTGGTGATAACTTTGTGGATAATTAAACGATTTGAACAAATTTTTATATCAAGCGAAAGCTGTGGTTAAGGGAAAGGATTTTAAAAAGACGAAAGGCGAAACTCGCACACCCCTGCTATAGAGATGCGAATTATTATTCAATACAGAACTTTTCGATTGACAAATTAGAAAAAAGTACACCTTGACAAGTGCAAACTATGAATACACATGTTTGGCTGTAACTTGTCTGCGATGATCTAATTACCTTCCTCCTGATAAGTTTAATTATTTACAACTTCAGATATTTTTGATATGGAAAACAGATCCATATTTAATTTGCAAAGGATTCATGATTTTTGGTCCATACTATGTCTCAGGAATCAAAAACAAGAACTTTATGTGGACTCACATAAAGTAAAATATTAATGAAAAATAAAATATTAAGTAAAATAAAATATATACCTAGTTTAGATTTTAATTATTTGTGAAGAGAAGTAAATAAGAAGGAAGTTAAAAATGAGAGGGATTTAGTTTTCAGACTAAATAGAATTGACACAAGTAAAAAGAAAGGGATTTATTGAATAAAATTAAAAGCTGAAGCTTAAATTATTAACTAAAACAAAATTTTTAATAAAATTTTTAAAATAATGAAACATTTTAAAATCTTTGTAGAGGATTACTTGGATTTAAAAATTATTTAATAGTTTCGCGTAAAACCATAGACCATGACTTAAACACAAAAACAAGGCCAAAAATCCCATTAAAAGTTTAAAACCCAAGACCAGGAATCTCTGACGGCTCTACTTTCTTCTGTTTTTATCAGAAACTTAAAGGGAGAAATACTTATGTTCGATGTCTGGGACTGTTTTTTAGTGTAATATAGCACATAAATAAATGGCACACCCGAGAGGAAAGGAATCACGTTTAGAATTGCCCGTAAATTCCGAGACAACTGTTGCTATTATTAAAAAGTGGGGCACTCCCAAAATTTCGAAAAAAAGCTTCAAAATTTTCTAATCTTACCAACTCTAGTATTAAACGATTCCTCTCCGCTAGTTAAAAAGATTGGTATCAAAATTGATACCAATCCCTCTAAACAATTAAGTGTTGTTGATTTAATTACCCCAAAAGTAAAGTTAATTGATAAAATTGAGTATAAGAAGAAGTTTCAAAAATAGATTGGGAATAGAATTTTTTGGAAATAGAAATTTCAATTTTGAAATTGAAATAGGAGAAGGAAGCAAGTTTAAAAAGGGAAGCAGAATTTCAAGGAAAATTAAAATTTAAAAAAATTTAAATTAGAAAAAAAATTTTCTGAGTAATTTATTGAGGGTGGCAACAAAAAAAAAGAAAAAAGTGTTCGACAAAAGGCCAATAAATAAATTTTAAAAAAAGTTTAAGAAACAATTTCTTCTAAAATAAATTTAAATAAGAAAAAAGGAAGGAAATAAAGGGGGAAAGAAGGGGGGGAGGAGAGAAGAGGGGAAAAGGCGCTCTGTCAATTAAGAGTCTTTGGAACATTGTGAGGGTGGTGGAATTTTTTATTCTTATTTTTTATTTTTTTCTTTTTTGAATTTATTATTTAAATATTAAAAAAT